TACAGCCCGCAAACCACCTAACAATGCGTCATTAGAATTAGATGATCAACCAGCTAACATTACAGAATATACACCTATACCAGTACCACAAAAAATAATAATGCCAAACCAAAAGAAATTAATTCATATTCCAGTTGATAAATTAATCAAACCAAAATAGACAAAAATAATCTAACCACAGGACGAAAAAATATATTAAATAATTAGATATTATAGGATAAGTTTACTCCTTACAAAATAACTTAATAGCATCAGCAAAAGGCTGAGGAATCCCTATAATACCTACTTTATTTGGACCCATTCGAATCTGAATATAACCTAAAATCTTACACTCCAATAAAGTCAAAAAAGCAACACCAATTAATACAAAAATTACCAACACAACATAACAAAGTAAATTTATTATACAATTAAACAATACTATATGTAATATTATTACATTCATGAATTCTAAATTCATTGCACTTTATTCTGCTCAAATAGTTATTAATAAAATTCCAAACAATAAATTATTTAATGTATTTAATCGTTTCGTACTAAAATACATATTATAAATAGAGATAGAAACCAACCTGGCTTACACCGGTTTGAACTCAGATCATGTAAGAATTTAATGGTAAACAGACCAATATATTAAGCTCCTGCCTAATAATTTTCTTTCTCAACATCGAGGTCGCAATTCTTATTATCAATATGAACTCTCCAATAATATTACGCTGTTATCCCTAAGGTATCTTTATCTTTATTCCATAATAATAGGATCAATTAACCAATCATTATAGTCAAACAGAAAGAAGTTAAATTATTCCCTTGTCACCCCAACAAAACATTATAGATTAAAATTTATCAAATACCACTAAACATAAATTTTAATATACCAATATTAAGATCTATAGGGTATTCTCGTCCCCTGTTATTTTTTAAGCTTTTTAACTCAAAAATAAAATTCAATTAATTATCCCGAGACAGTTATTGTTTCGTCAAACCGTTCCAAACCATTTTAAAAATATGCAGGTTTATTTCTTGTGTTAAAAAATATAAAGTTTCGTCGATCCATGGATCGACGAAATTTGGCGATTTTCGACCTCACGCGGATTGTTTTTGAAAACCAAGGTCTATGCACGGAATTTGAATGGAAGTCATTTTTCGATTTAAAGCTTAGTTTTTCAGAAAATCGCGGTATTTACGCCACAAACGTAAATTTCGCTCAAATAACTGTGCTGGGAATTGCATGTTCATTTAAGTTCTTATTAACTCTTCATTTAAGTCTCAAATTAAACAGTATTTTACATACTGTCTCGTGTGCAAATTTCAACGCTGTTTCTTGATTAGTTTAGATGATACGCTCTGTTGAATATAACTATAAATTTGAATTCATTGAGCATTGGAAAATACGATACTTTTAATTTCATGTTTCTACAGGGCTCATTTCTTACTCAAACATGAAAACTGATGACATTTTCTGAAAATACACGAATTGTGCGCAAATAATTGGTATCGTTAGTGATTTGCACCCAATACGCATAGAAGCAGTCGGGAAGTACTCGCTCGCGCCGCGTGGCGTCGGCGAAGCCCCTGCGCACCGCCTCTACGTTGCTAGCCCTCTCACCAGCCACGGAGGCCTCTGCGGAGAGACTTGGCTGGCGCGCTGTGTAAAGCGAACGCCGCCGAGACCCTGCACTTTTAAACAAAAATAAATATTTTTGCTTAACCACAAACGGAAGAAATCCTTCCTTAGGGTACTTGTTTTCTGGGCCCCCAGAATGGTGGAAAACTGGGGTAACGTGCCCAGATTCCGACTTAATTGGGAAACAATTTTTTTAAATTCAGAATAATTAAAAAAATGTTTTTACTCATAATTCATATTAAAAGCTACAAGTTATTTCTGTTGCATGGAGAAATTAATTCTAATATGTACTGGGAGGGGAGACCTTTGAAATAAAGGGCCTCTGTTGATCCCAGGTCTTTCCGGTGGGCGCTTCAGCAATTTTGCTTCTTAAGTTAATGTATTCTGGTGGCTCAGAGCAAATTTGCTCGCCTTCCACCAAGGAGGCCCGAGTTCGATTCCCGACGAATCCCTTCGGCTGCTTCACAAGGGCTAGTCCTAAACCCACCCCTGTCCTAAATCCTTCCCAATTCTGTCTGTTTAGTGGCGCAGGAGTGCGTACCCGAAGACGCTACGGGGCACGAGACGTGAAAATGTAATAATTAATGGTGGATTACTCCTAAAGCACAAAGCACTCAACGCCCCTCAAGGGGCTTGGAAACGCGTTGCGTCAATTGAAGACGCAACATTTTTTTAAACACTTCTAGCCATCTACAACTACTACTCTTAGCCATCTTTTGGTCATTGACGGTATATACCTCGTACTTGGAGTAATCGTCCATTAAATTCAGCCATTGCCTTTAATCCCTTCGGCCAGGGGCTCATACGCCGTTAGTAACCGGGGTATCCAGATGGGCACCCAACTAGGAATCTGCGGTATCTTGAATAACTTTACTTCCGTAACTCCACGGGGAATAGTTAAACAATTCGGCAGACGACGCCGGCAAACATATTTTTGTCAACGGAGAAGGGCCCGACTTAAGTATTGCGGGGCCCAAATATTTATATCCGTATTTATTAAATAAAAAAATATCTTAATACATGTGCTTTCTGTACACAAATGAAAAATAATAATTATATATACTATTTTACGTGTATATAATATTTAATACATTTTTATGTTACAAAGTGCGAGGCCTGCTTTGATTGTCGGTAAATGCGGGCTTGCAGCGAAGTAGATGCTAAATGTATTATTTTATTAGCAGAGTAGATATTAAATGGTATAGAACTTATGCTGAATTGTATCAGGAATTTTCCATAAAATGTAATAATGTTTACCGTCCATTAACGATTTTCAATGTAGGATCCCACGATTTTCTTTCGCAACTCACCGTCACGCAAACAACAACTGCGGTCGTGTGTTTTGCCTCGGGACGTGTCGTATTCCTTCTATTGATTCGATTTAACTCTAACTCTAAAAAAATGTCAGGGAAGTTTCGTCATGTGGAAAATACGTTAAGAGTATACAACGGACGAAGAAGAGCTTTTGTTCATACAATCTCTTTCAGTAAAGTTAAAAAAATATTTTCGGCCAGTCACGCGCTCCGTCGGAATACTTTGGTGGTTTCTGATTAAATGTGGCGATTGGAAACTTTAGGCATGAGTCATTGTCTTGGAAATATCTTGATACTTGTTGCGATATTTGGGTTCGCCGAGTGTGTTCGTCCCTCCAAAGGCGGGCTTTTGCTCTTGCCTCTTCTCCCAACGAGGCCCAGCGGAAGCCCTGCGCCCAAGGACGCGAGTGAGCGTTCGGAAGACGTCTTTCGATATTCCACCATGTTGGGCAAATGCAACCCACGATGGCCACTGACACAAGAACAAAGGCTAATAAAGGTACTGTCGTATTACTTATTACTAACATCCTTACGCTTCAATCTATTGTTTTCCTATGTTCGTACTCGCAAAATATCAGTGTTTAGTTTAATCTTTCAATAAATAGCATACGTACCTTCTTCTTACTTAAAAACGTTCTATAAAAGGCTCGGTCGTTAAAGATAACTTTCAACTTAATATTGTTTCTGATGCAAAATTTTTTTAGCCCGGCCATCCTGTATTATTGCACTTCATTAATTCGATTTTTGGCTTATAACTTTCGCACCGGAGCCCACCCTCACCACCCAAAAGCCGCTCCTGCTTACGCTGCAAAATTTGTTAGAGCACTGGCCGCTCCCTGGGGTCGGCACAGCCTACCCTGGTGATTATGTAATAGTACAACACATTTCATAATAATAACAAAACAAAATGGCTCTTACAGTTTAAAATTGGTGAACGTATTATTCATCTGGAAATATATAATGATTAATATTATAATAATATAATATATTATATAATAATAAAATATATTATGTAATAATAATATATTATAATACATACTATAATAATATAATAATACAATAATAAATAATATATTAATAAATATAATAAGTAATAATATAGTATTATATTCTTTTAAAATGACTTAATATGCCTGTAACATATAACGTACTTCAGCTCCCGGGCCAATAACCCCATGTCGATGTTTTATCCAGTTTCCCTGATCCATTGAGGAAATGTTGAGATGACCCCTAATTTTGCTTCTGTACGTAAATGTAGCTTCGCTATGCGCACGTTTTGTTGAGCTTTCCTTTTGGTTGTAGTAGTAGGAGTAGAGTTCGGGGTGAGTTACTGTTTTCTTAGCAATGCAGAAAAATCATATCTGCAGTCTAAAATATCTAGTTTCTGTAATGTTGCTATCTCGCGCATTTTTTTATTTTATTATTTGGTTTGTTTTAGTTTTAAAACTTTTATTAATCTTTCAACTATTTGTAGTTAAAACGTTGGGAAGGGATTATGGAACTCAAGAAAACGTGCACAGACGCTCTTTTCCCCCATATGTCACAGCTTTTACTGTTTATTGACTGAATAAACAAATGCAATTGTAGTAGCACGTTTTCTACCCGCCCGTTCGCTAGGCGATGTCTCTTCTCGTCTCGTCCCCTGGGACAGGGCGCTGTACTTCCCAGGGGAGGTACGCCCTGGCGCGGCCTCTAGCGATACATCACCAAAAGGTTTTCCATGTAGATGTTTTAAATACGATAAAACAGGTGGTATTTTCCCATTTTGTTTCCATTTTTAATTAGAGAACATAAATGAAATACCGGTATATCTTATGTGTTAATAACGTTTAAGAACTGTAACGAACTGTACGAAATAAAAAATAAAAGACACTTCGAATGTCGCTTATTTTTTATTATTCAATTTATATTTTTTACTTTTATTCAAATTATTAACTTTTGTTCATAAATCGTCGAAGTAAAACGTCCTGAATCCACATTATAAGTAAATATTACTTCGAAGTATAGTCTGCCTTAATGCGCTCTGTTACCTGACTTTTGTAATCAATATTCTCTATAGAGGAGGTTCAAATCATAGTTTAACGATACTGCATCGCATCCACGGGCAGGCGCTGGCCAGCCGCTTCGCGCGCGCCGTGTGCGTGGAGCTGCCGGGCCGGCAGATGGTGCGCGCGCTCGTGCGCGGCGCCGTCGACGTGTGCTCCGAGCTCATCTGGCTGACGCGGGAGGTCGATACGCCGCACACCTACCCGCACCAGCGCGATGACCTGTGCGTGGTGGTGCGGCGGCAGCAGCGCGTACCGCAGACCATCCTGCGCTCCTTCTCCGCCGACACGTGGACCGCCACTGGCCTCGGCCTCGCCGCCTTCGCCGCCGCGCTGCGCCTGCTC